CAAAATCACACAGTTAGCCAGACAACAAAATTACACAGTTAGCCAGACAACAAAATTACACAGTTAGCCATCTAAATTTCCATCTAAATCGACCAAAAAAAACAAGACACTTTTCCATCAAACAGTCAAAAAGCTGGCCAGACAAGTTGTCTTAGTAAGTCAGTTAGGTTAGACACTAACGTCTAAGTCAATCAGTAAACCAGACAATGTTGTCATCTAAGTCAAAGAATAAAATTTGCCATCTAAGTGAATCAACTGGCCCGACATGAAGGACCATGCGAAAATGGCGTAAGTGACTTATTAGGGTATTTTTGAAATTTTCACAAAATTTGCAGAGAATTGTCTACAATGACTCCTAATAGTCTAAATACATGTAGTCTTATTTGTTACTTATTTAATCTCATGATTTCCTTTGAAAAAGGGAAAAAACGACCCATAGTTCATTATGGCTTTGGCTCGCTAGATATGCTTCAAGCTAAACTTGTGACTATGACAGTTGGTTTGTTTTGACTCGAAGCTGTACTCAAAGAAGTCAAGAAATATATTTTCTCACATTTTTTATAGCTTTTTTGCCTTTAGATACTACTCTATGAACATCGTTAAGTTTGTAGGTAGCGAAGAAGCTTACTTGCTGAAAGAATCCAGCTTGGGCGTGACTTTTTAAGCGATTTGGTTTTCAAGGTTGATTTGATTAACTTGGACCTTCACTTAAAGAGATTTCACTTTTTAAACAAGACCATCAAGTAAAGGCAAATTCTTGGAGCTGCTACAGTAATTTTTGGATGTTTTGGCTATTGAGGAACAATTTTGAAACGCGAATTTTAGCTAACCCTAAACCGTCACTATCCCCAAAATCTAACCCTAACCCTACATGTAAATCAAGGAACCCTAGCCCTATCTTATGTTATAGGAACCTTAACCCTTGCCTAAGCCTGAAATTAACCCTAAGCTGAAGTTTGGTGGAGGGAGGAGAGGGTACAATCTGTAACGATACATGTATGTCATTTTTTTTTGCCTTTTCAAAGGAAATCACAGGAAATAACCAGCAAACATGATTAATTTAGACTAAAAAATGAGTGATTGATGGAAATTTTCTTCTATTTCTCAAAAGTTTCAAAGTTTAGAGCTTTTAATTACAGCCCTTTCAGGGAAAAATTCTAGTCTCCACAAAATATAAATATGAGAACTCACATCCCGCAAATATAAACAGACTATAAAATACAACACAATGACAACTATGAATGAAAGCAATATGTAGGAACTTTATAATTTTAGCTCACACCAACAGATATTATGTGAAGTAAAATTCTGTTTAATATTTTGAATTATCAAATTCATTAATAATTAATAAGGTAAACACAATGGAAAATCATTGCCGTGACCGCATCTTTAAATATGAGGAAGAGATTTGTCCTCATTTGCATATGACTTTAACTTCGATTTTCTTTTGCAGCTTGCAGATTTAAATGCCCATAAAGGTCTCCCACTCATATTTTATATATTACATACAGTTCGTCCATGCAATGATATGTTCTGTTGTCAGTTCATTAAATTTACACTAGATTAACGTTAATACCTACATACCCATTACGGCTAAAGCTTTTGAATGCAGTAAAAGGCTTAAAAGGGTCTTCAACCTGAAACAATTTTTAATGTTCATTGAAAACAAAAGCAGAATCATGATCATGTGTGGCTGTAACCATGCAGGAAATGCAGGATTCATAAAGTTTTAATAATGAATTTACTATCCAATGACCAGCTCAYAGCACAGACACGTTATGGTACTGTTAGAGGCTAACAGACCCTCTCCTGGTATTTACATATTGAAAGCATTGAATTGAGAAAAGGCTATGGCCATACTGTAGTGTAGCATGGACATGGCATGAAGTCGCCTGACAAAGGGAGGGAATTCCCCTAATTCATTTTCCTATCCATGTATATTAGACTTAACACTCAAATCAAAGGGCTGCTTTATACTGCAAAAAGCAGAAGCTTATAAGAAGATAAATTCATTGATATCAGAGCTAAGGAAAATACAAGCAGAGCAGAAACATGAGAAAAAGAAAATTTCAGCATTTTTCTGATCTGCTTCATCTTTTTGCCATTGTGGACTCGCATAAACATAACCTCATTATCTATGTCAGGTGTAAACCAGCTTCTCATCTGTCTGCTTCTACTTATGTTGTAGTGTGAACCAACCCTAAATTCTCATCAGCAACTTACTTCATTAGCAGCATCGACTGCAGCTTGTGATGCATTAATCTTTGCAACCTCCTGACAAACAATCAAGCAACACATGTATCAAAATGCATTTATTACTGATGACCTGACAAAACCAAAAATACTGACACAGGTATAGGAACAGGATTGCCAATAAATTGTTGTTGTCTAAAGTAAAATTACCTCTTTTCTCTTCAGCTTCTTTTCTTTACCTTTTGTTGACTTCCTCTAAAATAATAACTTATTAAACATTGGAACATAAAAAATCAATGCACATTGAACGTAGGCTTACATCAACCAAGATTTTATTTAGTAAACTATACATAACTTATTCGATCAAATAAAAACACATGTAATCTTGCTTTATAATGAAGTTAGTTAAAAATCATTCTACACAAGTATTCGAGTGTGATATTAACCTTTCGATGCAAGCTGCAAAATCGCTCACGTGTAGATGAAAGCGTGCTAAAATTACCCATAGTACACAAATAAGTTGACTTGATTACCAACAAAAACAATTAATTTACTCTACTTACACCCATAATGTCGATATTGTTTCTTTCAAGCAGTCAAAATACCATGAAAAGACAAACAACATTCAAAATTGCAGAACCTATAATCATCAAATGATCACCTTTCCCGCGAAAAACAAAATTGAAAGATCGCAATGCTTTACGGGATAGAGACCAATAATGAATGTGAGGGGGTGGCGTAGGGAGTCGAACTGGAGTTTTTAATCAAAATTTTTGTGGGATTTAAAAAAMACTGTTGTAAATGACGTTGTTGTTGTCTTGATGTCTTTACAAYGAATTGGGATTGCAGATGTAGATGAATGGGAACTGCAAAGTAGATGACAAAGCCTTTTATTTCACAAAAAGAGCTCGGTCAACAACCTGGGTAAGAATCCAATATGGCGGCTGTCGAGGCCGAAATGGTCTCTGGCATTCCTGTAGTAGATTTTACTGCATTTAGTCTGAAACACATAACGAGACCCTCAGCCAGCAGCGAAGAAGTCCAAATACTAGCAAGGAAGATATATAATGCATTCAGTACSGTGGGTTTTGTGTATTTGGTGAATCATGGCATTTCAGAAAGTGAGGTAGGTTTGAATCGAATCTTACATCATCGTATTAAAGTTCAAGGAACTCACGTATATTWCGCTAAGATGGATCTACTAAAAACTGAACTACTCAGTTCTCTCTTACTTAACTAGGCTGTTGCTTATGTAAAATTATAAAACTGGACGTTCATAATTATAAGTTAAATTTGTTGTTGTTTGTTTCGATACGAAATTTCAACTGCGTCAGCAATTCCGGGAATTGTATGTGATATAAGCTTAAAGTTTTATGATCATTTCCACGTCGTCTATAAAAATCTTTTTTTTTCGCAAATATGTTCAAAAGTTGAGTTGGTATGCTTATATTCAGTAAGTTATTAGTTGCAGCTGTTGGTAGCCGTGCATGTCTCTCTCTATACATCTGAAATCCGTCACTTTCTGGCTCAATAGAAACTTGCATACCGGCTCTTTTAAGAACGACGCAGAATTCAATAGATTTTAATCCTATTCATAAAGTGGCGTGTTATTCTAAAGTTTAACCGGGCCTGTCACTACATAGAAGAGAAACTTGATCAAATGACATTTAATATATGTACATGTTAATACAATAGGTTTTTTAGGTTGTCACTCATACTCAGACATAACCTTATTAAATATTATAAATACAGATTATTTTAGGCTGCCAACATTATTAAATTGTCATAGTATGAATTTCATATACATGTATTCTGCCTAATAGATAAAGACAACAGCCTTGTTACATGTAAATAGAAGAACAATCAGTTTGAGACCAAGCCTGCTTGCCCTAGAAATAATATTGAGAGAAGTCAATTTGATYAGCATTAAAAAATTATACAAAATACTTCAGTGCAGCTACAGGCTCAGGTATCGCACTTTAAACTGATGCTAAATCAATGATAAAATTAGTAAAAAAATTAGTATACATTAATTCTCAAATTTCAGATTGACAATATTTTTGGAGTCATGCATCAGTTTTTTAACTTGGAAAAGGAAACYAAGAAAARCTATAATAAATGGGATGACGCCCTGCAGAATGGATGGGACAGACTTGAAAAAGAACGGTTAGTATTGATTCCAGTGTAAAGTACAGGTATATATCAGTGTTTATCATRTAATTATCTAATGAAATATACACATACTGTATTTCTCCATTCATAAAATTGATATTTTCACTAGTGAAAATAACACATTCGAGGTTTCTCTATATAGTGGAAGTAAGAAAAAGGGAATTTTACAACATAATTTGCTTTCATATGTAATTATATGATAAACAGAATATTACATGGTCGTTTGGAGATGTGAATTTTATCTTCTCGTGTTGAAAGTCGTTCGCTCGTTCGCTCGTTCCCTACGCTCACTCGTGAGAGATCTTTTCAACACTCGAAGATAAAATTCGTATCTCCGCGCACCCATGTAATATCCTCTATTTATTTCATCATTATATGTCATCAAGTTCTACTATTGAATTATATTTTTGGGGTAAATGAGAAAAGTTCTTTGTGTAGGAATGTTGCACTTTAATATTTGTAGTCTGTGATAACTTAAAGTTCAGTTAGATGGTATTTGCATGCACTGTGTCACTTAGGCTACACAATTATTATAAATATAAATTTTACTATTATTAAAAACATAACCCACTGTAATGCTAAATGTAATTCAAAAAGTAGTTAATACTTGTTTGTGTGTTTTGTTTACTATGATCCAACAACCTTAGGCAACGAAACTATTCCATTCACAGTAACAACCCAGATCGACCTCCTGACCTCAAGGAGTCATTTGACATTGGTCACATCCATGAGAATTCTTTTGTGAGTACTTATTATGCCTRGTTTGTATTTGTATACAAGTGTGTTTGGTTAGTAAAAATTAAAAAAAATATTGTGACAACAGATTATGTGATTTTTTGTCATTGATTGAAGGCTAGTTGTAGTAATTTAGGGTAAAGTTGTTTCCTATATCCAGTTAATGTTTACACTTTACTAGTACACAGGGTTTGTGATACCCCTTGAARTCCTTGAAAAAAGCCCTTAAATTGAAAACTGGTTCCAAAGTACACAGCACTTGAAAAACTGATAATACTCCTTGATTTTAATGCAATGTACAGTTAGTTGTTTTTGGATTGAAATGAAAAGTAATCTATGAAACACCACCTTATAAAAGTGCTTAAAAATTAAATTGTGCTTAAACTATGCACTTGTTGATGAATAGTCGTGAAATGTTTTATAATGAAAACCTGACTTACTAAGATTCAATTTTTGCKGATGGATAAGGCGTTTCTCACAGTAAAATACTGCTATCCATTCAATCATGCAAACTCCAGTGCCGTCATGAATTGATGCAATTTTATAACTTGAGATCAACAATCTGCCATTTTTTAAAAATATTTTTCCAGAATGTTTGCTGCATGGTCCCAACATTCATCTGAGAACCTTTGTGCCATTTTCTCACTTACAAAAAATCTCCATTTTCGATTTTTAACCAAAATTATGATGCAACTGTCACCAAGAGATCATTTGCAAAATAAATAAATAGATAAATAAATAAACTAAAAAAAAAACAAAAAAAACAACAAAAAACTGAACACTATGATCATTCAATGTTCTCAATCATGAAATGTGGGCCTTTAAACAAATGTAATTTATACTGAGCAGATTTCGTATGACTGGGACATGGTTACCGCACAGTTACCGGACCTGGCCTGCACAATTTTTGTTAACCAATGGGGCACTAGAATCCCTTTCCCACTCATACAAAATCCTGTCTATTAGTAGCATATAAAATGTAACATTCCCTTTCTACAGAGTTACATACTAATTAATAACTAGTTATTGTTGAAAATATATTGACACTGCTATTTTTTTCATAGAAATGGCCTGATGATGTATCACCTGACTTCAAACCAAGAATTCAAAGCTTTTATGAKMATCTCAARATTTTAGGTTTAAGAATACTGTCTGCCATTGCTCTTGGATTGGACCTGGTGAGAGACAGCTTGTGCAAATACTCTTTTTTACAGTACAAAGTGCTGTYTTTTACCAAACGGGACWGGAGCTTGCAACACTTGTCTCCTGGWACGGATGCCTCTCAAGATGGAGCTTGAAACTGTAAAAATGGAGTATTTGATATATAATTAAATAAGGAAAACAAGACAGTTTATTCAGCARTGAAATTCAATGTCAGTGATTGCACATTGGGTTCTGATCAACTCAACAGGAATTCTTGCATTACAGAGTCATTATTTTCGTATGTGAGGAAGTTGCAATTGCMGCAGAACAATAGAAAGTTGCCTGCTTTTTGTGCGCATTGTTACTTAAAGTCTTTTAAGTGTAGCAAGCAACAAATTTGTCTTTCTCAATGACACACCTAGCATTTGGGAAGCAGCCCATGGGTCCTAGTACAGTAGTTATCGGACAAGATGATATACAATAAATTAAATAATGTGCAATCTCAAAAATTATGATTTACCTTCAGGATGTTGACACTTTTGCACCAAGTTATCAAAAGATGGGCACAAAGAATGGCAACACACAGCTACGGTTAAACTACTACCCCAAGTTAAACCAAGACTTTAAGTTTAAACAAGATCAGATACGCTGTGGTGAGCACACAGACTATGGTGGTGTATCKATATTGTTTCAGGATGACTGTGGAGGCTTGGAGGTAATTAGTAATAATRCCATRTGTCCAGCAAGGTCAAATCAAGGAAAATTGCTAGACTCTTCGACAGTCTYCTGTTCGGCTARTGCTCRGCACTGTGAGAAGACCAAAAGCCAAGCAGGAGACTTGAAAAGTCTAGGAAAATGACCTGATGATTTCACCAAAAAAGGCTCATTTACAGTAGTACACGTGATCAAGAATACAAAAATGTGTTTAACACAAACTGCTATATGCATATACTCTTATATGGAAGCTGGAGCAAATGGCTGTACATTTTTCTGGTTGTTTCATACTTCAAAATATCGGATTTAAATCGAAACAAATTAAAAGTCACATAAAATGCAATATTAACGAATTAGCCTCGGTCCTCCATAAGCATCACTAAGAATCGCGGGCTTACTGTCCTTTTGCAAGCAGAGAATATGAGCGAAAGAGGAAGCATTTATACACCTTTACCATAATGGCCGCCATCTAATTAACATAAATTTTTAAAATTTCGAATTTTATTAAAAGTAAACTGACAGCTGATAGGAACCTGTGCTAAGAACAAAAATATAAAGTTTGAAATGAAAATATTAAATTCTGGTGAAGTTATAAGGATTTAAAATATATGATAACACCAGGACAAGGCAATAAAGGCCTTGGCTGAAAATTACATACACTTAGTTTCTAGTGTATTTTCATTTCGCCATACATTTGTTCGCATTTTATCCAGGGCTGTAAAACTTTCCAAAAATGTTTATTTCAGGTAGTTCATTCACATGACAGTGACAAAATTTTAATATATTTCATATTCAGAAACAAATAGACAGACAGCCATTGGTGGAAAATTACATACATTTCTTTGTATTTTCATTTCACCGTAACTTTTTTCCTATTTTGTCCAGAGTTCTAAAACGTTCCAAATACGTTTATTTCTGATAGTTCTTTTATGTTATGGTGACAAAATATTGTTATCTATCTTATTTTGGAAAAACACAAATGTAGTCATTATGGTAAAGGTGTATGCC